ATTACACCTATTCTAGAAAACTCGAAGTTGGTGTGTGTGGTGTAGTGCGCGCTTTAGTTCGGCTGATTAAATAACTTCAAAAGTCGCCGTCACGCCTGACACTTTTTTTGACAAAACATGTTAGGATATGAGGAATTTTAATCATCCTACTTCCATCAATCGGATCAACAAGATCCTGTCAGTCATCTTCAGTAGTATAGTGAATACTGTGATGGTTGTCAACGCTACGTGAACCCGTTTTAGGACTACCGTCCGCCAAGCCATACTAAATTTCCTATTACAGTTATCAGTTCTACGTGAACCCGTTTTGCGACAACAGCGTGCCAAGCCATACTAACACTCCTATTTCGGTGACCAGTTCTGGAATATAGCAAAACTCAACGCTGCTTGAAAGCCCAGCAAGGACGTGGCCGCATAATGGAGACCTCATTTTCCTTCGTCTTCCCCTCCCCTCCCTCTCTCCCTCTCTCCCTCTCTTCCTTTCTCCCTCTCTTCCTTTCTCCCTCTCTCCCTTTCTTTCTTTCTTTCTTTCTTTCTTTCTTTTTTGCGTCACCTGCGCTACTCCCTATTCACAACATATCCACATCACGTCATTAAACCTTTTGTTACTATATTTACTTGCTGAGGCTTATCGGTGTCGCTAACATGCGCGGAAGAAATCAACTCAGCAGACCCATCAATATAGCTGACCTGCAAGTGCTCGCACAACAAGAGGAGACCCGCGAAATTACTGCAGAAGAGATAGAAAAATCGCTCATTCCCGAGAGTTTGAAGCAACACAGGTACTCGATCAAGCTATGGATGGAGTAAGTGGACGCTGAGATATCAAGACGTAACTGACAAGTCAGGTTCTCGCAGCAGGTCTTGGGTACACATGTGCAGGAAGACAAACCCTTTCCACAGCCTCCACCGGCAACCCACATCAGGCTGTTTCTTACCTGGTATACTCGGACAAGCAACGGGTTAATCGATGAGAAGATTAATGACACAACAATCGCAAACCGTCTTCGATGTCTTAAACGAGCCATTCGACTGTTTACCAACCATGTTTACAGTAAAGCCGACAACAGCCTATTTGCTCAAGCTGTCGAGAACGAGCTTCCTCGAACCGAAGGTTTATCGACAAAGGCGTACGATAAGCCCCTAGCACCACTAAATGTGAGCAAGGACGTCATTCGCTTTTTATGGGTATGCGATGAATACCAGTTCCAACATCCTCGAGTACGTCTCCAGCTCGCCTTCTCCATTTTGATGTTGACTCTGATGGGAATGCGTCCTGGGGAGTTTATTGAATCATCAAACTGGAAAGAATCGAATGAAGGGCTGCTTTATCGCGATGTGAAGCTGCTCAGGTCTTCAGAAGCTGATGGAGGATTCATGCTACATGTACAACTACGGAACCGTAAAGGCCACAGGCATAATCATAAGCAGGGGTATGTTTCCGCTCTCCTTGAGGTACATGCTGACCAGAGCTTAGCGCACTGATGCTTTTGACTGAGGAGCCAGAAGATCGCGCGCTTTGTCCGGTCACATACTTCCTGGCGCTCGCGCTCGCAGATGGTGTCTTTGAAGGCTGCAAAACACTCTCCGACCTCCAGTCTATGAAGCCGTCCCCTGGTAGTTCCTATTGCGAATTCCCTTATCATGCGGATGTAGGAAATCTGCCAATCTTACGGTGTTGCCAACCAGACGGATCGATTTCGCCGACAAGAATACTAACCTACTATGGTTTCCATTGGATGATCCGAAGCTTGGGGCAGAGAGCAGGCTACAAGGACAAACTGACTGCATACTGCTTTCGTCGTGGTTATGGAAATGCGATTGACAGTATGTCTGGATATTTCAGGCTCTAGATGCACGCTAATAGCTACAGAAATTGTCACAGCTGCACAGAGACAGCAGCTGATGGGGCATGCTAACCCAAATATCTTCCAAACTTACATTTCTTCTATGATCGGGATCGATTCGCAAAGTGTCGTTCTCGGGAGAGATCAGCGTATGGAGCTTATCAACAACCACAGTTCGATGATGCTCCACCGGAATCTACTAGCCCCTATGCCTCCTAGATCCCAGCTAGCAGAGAAAAGTTCACTCAATACATGTCACCACGATTCGGACCTTCCATACGACAAGCGGAAGTATTTGCAGAGGACAGCCTTCGAAGAAGAGCGACAGCAGTTTTTCCAAGGCAGGTCTACTGCGACTAGCTCAACATCGAGTGACGGTACCCGAACGCCCTCTCGATATCTTAAGGCGTTATTGAAGTTTGAGGTGAGCCGCTATCAAGCTGTGATGCTTATGTACCCAGACCTCAAGTCTGATGGTAATGAGCATGACAAGGACAACGAGACCCTTGATCACGAGAGCTGTGAGACAGCTAAGATGACGAATCCGACTCATTGTTGCGTTACACTTGAGCAAATAGTCCATCCACTTCAAAGTATCGCAAATGCACACAAACAGGGTTTCGAATACGGAGGTGCAGAAACTATTGAAAATGGATGTTGCAGCTTCTGTAAGAAGCGGCTTGACGGGTATGTACATTTATTTTATTTGTTAGGGACGTTAATGCACGGATCCGTAGCGTTGTTGCACTGTAGGTGTATTAATTGCATTTTAGAGAACGTCGAGATAGGGCGAACTTCCATCTCCTCCTTTGCGCAAGGGAGCGGCGATTAAGAGATGGAGAAGCTCGTATGACCAGCCTTTTTGCTGAAACCCGTTTATGTCGTTGGAACGATTGTCACTACAAGTTTGAAGGAACCTCCGAGACATGTTCACGCCATGTAACCAATCACCTCGTGGAGATCGAATCTTACCAATGTTTGTGGGACCGATGCCGAGAATCCTACGACAGCCATGAAGCACTGTCATGCCACGTTACCGAGAAGCACGGCGCGCCAGATGCATGGACAAACCTCACAGATATACGATACTGCTTCGAGCATAACCTATGGTGTTGCTCAACCTTGCAATGGGAAAAGCACCTAGAGAGGAGCCATCTTCCCCAGTTGAGCGACTTTTGCGGCTTAATCCGTCAAAACGGGGCTATCCTGATCGCAGGCTATTGCTTGTTTTGTATCGGCAACACCGAAGAATGCCTCACATCTCGGTTTTGGCAGTTCTTCGATGCGCATTCGTTACGCAGGCACATGGAGAATCATTTGAAGAACGCCCTCTATCCCTTCAAATGTCCTCATCCTTCGTGTTCAACTAACCTGCACACTGCAGACCTTTTCTGGAAGCACGCAGTGTCTGTTCATGGGACACCGCCTCGGCATGGAACCAAAATAACCGGTAAGCGCAAATCGCCGTGTGAGGACGACCCACAGGAAGAGTAGCGCGCGGCTATCTGGCCAAAATAGAAGTACACCCGTACGCGGCAGAAATGGTGATTGGATGTTCAGAGACGTAAAACAGATATCGGTTTTGAGGGACGAGTTCGCGTTTTTTAGGGAGGGTTCGTTCTTAATACAGTAAGCCAGTACATATCTCAGTATTATACATATTAGGACTTTACGCTGCACACTTTTTCCTTACAACATCTGCTTTTATATCTACAAAATCATGACACCGCCTATCCATTCAGAGCGTCGACAGATTAAGCTCGCTCGAAGGCGGAGCGAAGGCATGCTTGGTTCCCCACTACAGCTAAGCATCCCCCCTACTACGTCCCGCCAGCATCACCCTCTTACTCCGTTTCCATTCGAATCAAAGCCTTTTGCGCGTCAAGGGCAAACATATGTTAGGGAGCGTCATCAGCTTCTCGCCAGTATCATTGATGAAGAATCGTCTGAATCTCATTCCCAGCTAGCGTTAGAGTCCAACCTTATGGGGCTCCCTGCGGAACCCTCAAATGATGACTCCAGCTCAAGTTCAGAGACGGCTTTATCCCCGTCCGCCACGAATCATGATTCTGTAAGCATTTTTCTCATGAATCGGGCTTTTTTAATGGTTCTAGCGCAACGACGCAACGACGCATTACATTGGAGCAACACCCTCCACCCAATCACGAGCCTATGCGCGATCACCAATCCTTCAAGCCCGGTTTAATACACTAGTCAGAAAAGCTAGTCAGCTATGCGCGATGTCTGATTCTGAAGTATACCTGGCTGTGCGACATGGGGGTAGTTTGTATGTTTATAACTCTGCCGATCTGACTTCGCATCAAGCCCCAAAACCCAAGGTACGCAGAATGAACATAACATGAACAAAGCTCATATATCTCAGGCAAACGAACGGATCATTACTGTTGCAGTCGCGAGCAGCAGCTGTGGTATGACTGTATAACTCAGGTGTGGTCTAATGTGGGGCGTGATCGTGGTTTTATACTTAGGTAGCCTTGAACTAAAGGCCTGTGCTTTATCATGTTTGCCCAGCTATCGAAGATTTTATTTGTCAAAACATGCTCAATGTTAGCGCTCATCGCGACTGTGGCGTTTCTGGATCAGGCTCTCATTGCCGCAATCATCCCCCTCCGTAAGCAGCGAACTCGCTTACTTTACTCCATTTTGCAGGAGCTGCGCGTCTTTGCAAGGTCTACACCTGTGCCACATGGCGCTACGGATAAGCGCTGAGTGCTTTATTTGCAATGATCACATAAGTACCTGTGTCGTTCCGAGATCCCTTCACCTTGACTCATGCAATGTGGGCAAGTATTCTGATGATTAAAGTTTCTTAGAGATGTCACGTACGCGCAGTTGTTCGATATTAAACTATGAAATTCATTTAATTTATCCCGAATTCCTACGAACGTAAAGCTTAGAAGAGCGCATTGCTAAACGTGCTAAGTTACATGATGTTGTTTTTTCTTCTTTTTGGGCACACAACATGCCATTATCGATATGAAAGGCTTCTCCATTATGCCGTGCTTGACTCTGATATTCACGTTGAGAGAAGCATTCCTCTCAACGGGGGTTGACCGCAATGTTTCCGCCTCGCTCAATCAGGTTTCGAACTACCTGAAGCGTGTTCGTAGGGGTATGGTGGGGGTGGTTGATGAGAAGACCTTCTTAGCCGGCTAGGGTCCAGATTATGGTGGTTTTGAAAAAGGCTGCCGACGGAACCTCGAAGTGCGATTTTCCATTGTTGCCAGAAAGAAATGTTATCCTCAATAGACTGATAATGTGCGTGAGTGCGCCTGAATATGATAAAGACGCACATCTTCCTGGTTTGATAGTTTGTTTAGTGGGGTTGCGCAACATGGTGTTATATATATTTTATTTGGGCTTTGATTACTAGCTCTTTATAGTAGTAATGAGCGAGCATGTTGTCACCTAAAATAGAGTGGCTTGATACAAGCGAGACACAAAAGTCATCGCGTTTCGGTTTTGGGAGACCGAATTCTGTCCCTCAACGCTCAATCATCGCGCACGCGGACGACGCTCGAGACAGGCTAAAGCCTGTAGGAATACGACGTCGTCGTCGAGTTCTTGCTATGCCAGCATGCGCTTGGATACCCCGTGCGAACAGAGTAACGTTATAACGTATAGCCATAATAGCGTTTGATGCAACCCGCCAGTGGCCCTTAGCGGACCGATCACTTAGTTAAGCCTCCTGGCATGACTGGAACTGGCATAATATCTATGATAAAGGAACTAGAAAACCTAGCTATTCTGCCAGATTTGGAGACAGACAACAGCTCACTAATACTCATGTTGATATCAATCTGCTTCTTCTCGCAGATGGAGCGGTCGGAAAGATTACGGTCTTAAACTCTATAATTCCTATAAGCACACTGCACTATCCGCAGATCAAGCCTTCTAATATCAGTATGAAAGGGGGGGAGAGCTAAGTCATGGATGCCCGTAAGGATCGATCTGCGATCTTGCTCATAATTCTCCTGCACGTACTATACCCCTTGCGAGCGGTTCTGCGTATACCATGGGTGTGTGCATGGTCTGCCGAGAGTTCTTGGAGGCTCTGGACCTTTGTAAAACAATCCCGTCTCGTAAACATCAAAGAGATTCACTCCACACATCCGATTCAAGAAAGACGGGTCGATATGCCACGTTACTTTCGAAACCCAGCGTAAGAGCAGGCTGAGAGGACCAGGGGCTTGTACTACGTGAATCCTTGCCCAGATACCTCTTGGCTTCAGAGGCCCGATGTGTTTGAGACGCGCCTTATCATAATCGTCCGGAGTGCAAAGCCACACAAACGGCAAACCATCGCTTCCAACTTCTCCGTGGATATAGAAGGGTCGTATCTCTTCTGGAAACTTTACTGAGTCAGCAAATGCCATTAGTTTTGTAGATGGCATGAGTATGTGCAGGACTGCATGTGGTCCCACCCTTGGCCGAACTTCGTCGGCCAAAAATGCACAGAGCTCATCCAAGTCGGTTTTGTGTCCAAGATACTGGCGACCAAGGGGGTTGTCCTCGTTAATAGCGAAGAACTTTGGATGCCAGCGAGTCCCTCGATCAAAGACAGCGAAGTAATGTGCGGCATTATCGGTACTGTGTTCGTGAATCATCATCCTTAACCACTCGTGAATGTGGTGAGGAAATTTGTCGCCTTGTTCACTGATTGCGTCTAGATTCCGTTCAATGCCTTTGAGCGAGCCCTCTATCTTCTCGACTGAGTTTGCCAGTCTTCGGATTTGGGCGATTGCTTCCGCTCCTGCGAAAAAGCCCGTAAACTGTCCGGCGATACCAGCTCGATTGAAAGTGGACAGCAGTCCTTCCAGAGAATCTAATCGCTCGCCCAAGTTCTGAAACTGTTCGGATTGAAGCTGGCTCATTTGTTCCATGCATAACCTGATCGTGTTTTCCATAGTCTCTCGTTGGTTTTTGAGCTCCGGGGCAATTTCGGTCAAGGCATCCGAGATTTTTTCAAGTACCTCAGTTTCTGAGTTCCCCAAAAACATTGAGACCAAAGGATGGATTGTAGCCACTCGTTCCAACAACTTAATGTAATCTAGCTCTTTAAGGTTTTCCATCCAGTCGCCCATGTCTTTCTTTTTCGACTTGGCACGCTTTGTAGTCTTAGGCTTTCGTGGAGTCTTGCGTGCCATGCTGCCTGGAACTTAGGAATTGTCTTGAATGAAAGTATGGCATGTACAGTAGAACCTCTAAAAATGATGATTCCCCGAATGCACAACCGACTGTCCTTGTAGCAAGAAGATGGGTGGAAAGTTCATGGCTGGGCATTGCTGCTGCGCCGCAAAGTAGGCAACCATGAAGTCTGATGTTCAGTGATTATTAATCAAATCATTATTACATAGACAAACAGGATGTGGTTCAGAATAGCCTGGGTCCTTAGGCTTGTAAGACATATCCATCTTGTACGCGCAATCCTGCTCACGAAAATCGAGACCACATGTCTATTGTGCAACAGCAACCCTAACGGAGACCCATGCATGCCAGGACAGGGATGCACGTTAGCTAGAGCGCGAAACTTCAGGGCACTCGAACAGTATTAAGCCGTGTATACAGAGATCGAACTATTCAAAGAGAGGTATCTCGCTTATTTCTCGACAAATAGTGTCTTTCTACCTACAGTGGGGGACACCAGTCAATTCGCTTTCTCACGTCACTCCACTTTTGAAGATGTCATACGTCAGCGGCTTTGCAGGGTTTGTAACTATACCGCATAGTGCTGTGCATAAGCGCTGTGCATAAGCGCTGTGTTTACAAGGGTCACATGTTGGATCTACGTATAAAGTATAGATCGGCGAGCAGTATCCCGCTCAAAATAGAACGGTTTCAGTGCAAGCAAACGGCACAAAAATCAGCCGTAATTCGGTTTCCAGAACCCGAATCCCGTCCCTGAGTTCGGAGTGCTTTAAATTCGTGATAAATATCAGTTTCTTTGCCTCTTACAATGTAGTTGACAGGTCCCATTCGCTTATTCTAATTTTGTCTTTTACCACGAGAACTCTCCAATCGTTCAGAAGATATGGAAAATGGCCAAGGCTCTGCTCCACCCCCATATCCGGGAGAAGGCCCATCACAAAGTTGCCAATGGAAAGTTCGAAACGCTAAGTACCGATCGAATTTCACGAACACCGGGGAGCCCTCTCGGGCTAACTTCCGAGAGCAACTTGAGTGTTTGAAAGATTCATTGAATGGATGTACCCGGGTAAGACGATACAACAAAATGTTTCATCAAACACTTACACAGGCTTTCTAGGGCGTTGGATGTCCTACCGATAATCTCCACATTATCGAAGTTCAGCATAGTCAAGCGTTCGCCCCTGTGGAGCACTTTATTGACGAGTATCAAGCATTTCTTCGCCAGATCAAACCGTTGAACGAAGAGGACATCTTATTCTTACTCTTGAGTCGATATGCAACGACTTCTGGTGCTTCTGTTTATACAGAGATTCGACACAAGAATGACGTTCACGTTTTCGACACTGATGTGTCTGAGCCATTGGTAAGAGCGAATCATCCTTGTTTGATATGTGCTTATCTTTTCAGCATACGGACTCGGTTGTAGAGCATCTGATGAACGGATCTGGGGTGATTCATAGCGAGATGTCTTTGCAAGATCCTCAAAATGCACCAGCGTCTCTAAAAATGCCCCTACCAGCCGTGCCACTACATGATCACCATGCCTCAACAACGCAGACATCTCATGGCGTGGAGTTTGCAGGATCAATAAACTTGAATTTCCCAGCCATACTCGCCAACGATCGGCCACATGAGGATATAATGAGTCTCAGTTTGACCCCTCCGGTTTATGACAGCCTGCCACACGCAAATGCTTCAGGTCTTGATCGGGCTATTGATTGGGGTCAAATTCCCGAAAAGTTTCAGCCTCCAATGTTCCATGTGCATAGATGCCACCATCGAGGTATGGAACGAGTTGACGAGGATATTGAGTTGCCGTTTGGATTCCCTGAACTTGTCCAACACTTTCACAACACCCCTACAAATGTATGTATATACCGACACAAGTGCTTCGAGAGTTTACAAACAGAGAACTAGGTCTATCATACTGGATTTCACGTAGACATAGACGCTACGCAATCATTCCCCAGAAGTCAAACAGGCCTTGCCGCATTCAAATGCCGCATTATATCTTCAAATCTACATGTGTACATCACAGTGGAAAGAGATGGAAACAGTCTATATTACAACTGTTTTAGAGACAAAGAGGTACTCAATATATAGGTGCTAAAAGTAGCAAAGCTGACGCATGCATAGATTTGGGAACTTTCCCATCCCTACCATGAAGATTGCAGTGAATATCCTGGCTCTTGAAGGTATTATGTGTTGTATATTTTAGTATATGTTCAAATTGCATACTCAATAAACCAAAGTTCAGTGTTCAGAAATGTTTTGCTGGTTCACACACAAATCCGCTCTTGATTTTAGTTCACAGGATCATTAGTCGGAGGACAATGATAGTAGTAAGCTGTGGGCCTGAAATATATTTATAGTGTTGTTGTAAAAGCCATAGAGCCTTGATTTGGATCCCAGAGTTAGCTCCCGAAATCCGTTTTGAGTTGAAAGCCACTAGTTATAAGACTTACTAATTACTTCATTAATTACATATTGTTGAAAGCGACCTAAAAACCAACTAAATACGTTTACATAAAGATAGACATATTTACTAACTCACACCAGTAAGTTACCTTGCATATTAAATAGCTACCGAATCTAGCGCTAATCTCCAAGGTCAAACAGCCAATCCTTTATCAATGCACTAGAGGTGGGGCTTATCTTTAAACCCTCACGTGTCTGCCTTCATCCTATAAGCCTTATCTACATATGGTTCGTATCAGTTTTAAAAACAATGCAGCTAGTTGTACTAACAAGAGAAAAGAGGGTTAGAATTGGCGGTAAATTATCACCTAAGGTGACGACATCGTCTCAGAAGAACACACATCAAAGGAGTTTTCATGGGCCAGTCTTGATAGGCACTATTGGTATCGTTCTTATAATTGTGACGGGACTGCTTATATTCTGGCTGTGTAAGAGGTTGAAGAAAGTTAAGAAGTGTCTCCTTGAAACACGATCACAAAACGAGGTCAATATTCCTAGTCCCGTAGTTTGAAAAGTGTGAACAATATTTACAATACAATTTCGATGACATAATAGAAAGACAAAAAGCACCAAGCTAAAAAGAACATGATAAGAAAGGTCCTCCACAGTTGCTCCAGGACATAATCCAGCACGAGTGTATCTGCTTTTCGATCGAAAATGTCATCAAAGCACATTATTTCATCCTTCCACTCTACCTGTATATCGTCTCCAGAAATCAATGCAGCACTAATTTCATGATGAAAGTCTCCCGAATCGCTTCTTCCATTGACTGGTTGTATCATATCACCAGGGTTCTTGCCCACCTGGACGGCTAATCCCAGGACAATATGCGCAGAAAGCCTCTGTGGCTTGAAACGCATCTGAAATTGAATTTGACTGGAGCTGAGGACGAGTTGTTGGCAGGATGCCAGGACACGCACGTCGCATATATTATCGTGTTGTAGCCAATCCAGTTGAGAAAGCGGAAATTGTCGAGTTCGGGATTGCGACTGCTTGTCTTCCAGCGAGGAGTGAGCGCTGCTGAAAGTCCTCTGAAGTGATTCGAGAGATGGGACTGGGAGGAGCGTTGAGCGGCTTTTCAGGGGCATTTCGTTCACATTACTCGGGTTGTGCAAGGACTGGACTTTCTTGATGACTGCGACCTTGCCTTCGTCTTCCCATTCAACTATGAAATGCAAAGTTTGGTCACTGAATAATAGTTAGCCAGGCCAAAGGAAATGAGATTCAGGTGAAACGCACGTATGATTGGAACAACCAGTACAATCAACACAAGAACCTGGCTTAGACATGACTTTGTAAAGATGGATTTGGGGGATACAAGATTTCAGTAAAGAGGACGGAATTGCAACTTAAGTATGGAGCTGGTGATGGATACTAGGACGCCTTTGGCACATGAATCGGTTGCGCGCGCGTAAGCATGAGGACTGCCACTACATATACATCCTGTATGCTGCTAACGAATGGTCGGTCTAGTTTTCAAGTCTAAGAATGACTGGGTGTCACTAAGAGTCGATGCTAGCCTCAAGGGAAACCAATATTATGCGAAGTACTATGTCTGCCTTGCTGTGTCACCGAAATGCCGACCCTCTGGATTTCTTCTATCCACTTCAAGCATTCCGATAGGACGAATAGTACAAAAGGAGCCAGTTCATTCATGCAAAGGGGACTGTCGGCTCGCTGCCGCCCGTGGGAGCTAAAGAATGTAGTAACCTCATAGGTTCTATCACATGGGCAGCGGCAAGCTCTTCATGCAAGTCTTTCCCAACAATCTCATCTCATATTTTTAGTAACTATGTTCTAGGGTTTCGATAAGTTGATAGGATACGACTTGTTCAAAGCCATGGTGTCTTCATGCAAGAGCAAGGCGTTAGGCTAAACTTAACATTGATAGCAGTCAGAATTGGGCAGGCAGTTGCGTGATTCGTGCTAGTAGTGCTAGGTCTGATAGGAACGACATGTCATGTGTTACGTCGATGAGACGTAGCCAGCATGACTGTTCAAGTTTAGCCCCTGCTTCGTTGTTGTATAAAGCATGCCTTTGCCCGGATAGAAAACTTGCTTCACAATTCTCACGCCGTTCAACATTCTTCAATAAGCCCCTACCAATCAGACCCTTCCCACACAAACCTTGAGTATGGCACTACCTTCATATGCCCAGGAGCAATATACCATGGCAGAACCGCTTCAAATGACAGATCAGCACACGACCAATCCGTCATTCGCTACAGCGTCATCTGACATGTCCACACTTGGCATGCCTGAAGTTGACTCCCATTTGCATAAAGAATGTGGGAGCCAAATAACAGGTATCTTAGACCCAGCGGACGAAGTATGTACTGTTTCCCACCACTTTATTGGATTTGATGAGCTGAACACATTAGACGGCTGATGCTGCTATGACATTATGCATGATATTCGGACAACCCACCAAACCGCCAGAAACACCAACGATCGAGCATCAAGAAGTCTTGACCCACTCACATGAAGACCAGAGGCTTTTAAGAACGGCGGAAAGCGGGAGTGCGAGTATACCGCCCGGAAAAGGGGACAACTTACAGGCAGTAGTGACGGCAAATGCATACGAAGCAATTGCTTGTTCGATCAGCCACGTCATAGAGCCATCCATGGAGATCTGTGAGAAAGAGAAACCACATGAGGGCCAACAGGCATACCCAGACGACTCCATTTCCGATCCTCAAGGCCATCCAGACGATTCTATAGAAACCTCGACCTGCTGGGATGACGCCGTTTGGGCGTTTGAACACGAGAAGTTGCCCTGCGACATCATAAGAGATGATTTTCTCGACGAAGGCCAGACTGGTACAGAAAATCTCCTCGGAAATCAAGCTATTGACAAGTTTCTGTCCCTAGTGGAAGGGTTTGAAATGCCTGGAATGGGAAGCCCTTCCAACGTTGGCCCAAGAGAAACGTCAGTCCAATACAAAAAGAGTATCAACATGTCTGATGATGCCACTGATCTCCTGAAAGAGACCAGAAGCAGCTCAATCATTCGTGATCACCGCAGCCCATCCTATGGTGAGCCACAGGAGGCACCATCAGCTCCTACTGAGCAGATGGAGTTCTTGAACGGTTCTGTGCCTATCACCACCGACACGATCAATGGAGAAGTGATTGCCATAGAAGACTCGACCAACGCCAGCGACATCAGCGACTCGCCATCAAACATTACCGCGGATCAACGCCCATGGGCAGACCCACAACCTCGTGCACGATCTCAAACACCCATCATTATTGACACGAACAATGGAGAAGCGATTGTCATAGAAGACTCGAGTGACTCAAGCGACATCAGCGATTCCAGCGACTCGGCATCAGAGATTACTGCAGATCGACGCACATGGGCAGGTTCACAACCTCGCGTTCGATTCAGACCTTCGCGTGTACTGGATGGTATGGTACGATGGTCCGACGCATATCCCCCGAGGACGTGCCAGACGGCTGCCCCACAACTTTGGATCGATGCCCAAAACTACTGGAAGTCGGCGCGGGCGATGAAGCGTTTTGCCGGAAGCAAGAAAGTCAGAAAATTCGACAAGATTATGGTTAAAGCACAGAAGCGCTTTCAACAACACGGGGGCACCATAACCGTACAAGCTGCAAACAAATTACATCGCAAGTTCAAGCAGATCCTGCCCCATCTTATTGGGCAACTGAGCAATTCAAAGCAACGGAAATTCTTGCAAGATGTGGATCGCACGCTGAAAGATTTGTACACGCTAGTAGAGGTAACGGCGATGATGACAGAGCCACCAGAAAGTGACGGTGATAAGGACGACGGTGACTACAAACCTAGAGGGGCAACAAGGAGAGTATAGTGTGCAGACGACTAAGGCGGTGATCTACCCTAGAAATTTCCCAGCCCTTCTTAACTCCTCTCTGAACTTATGTTCGACACGTGTTTCATGTGGTGTTGCACATGAGTAGGTCGCCCCGCGTGAATTCTCCATCTTAGGTGACTACTCTACAGATTTGGCAATACCATGCTCCTCAATATCCTTAATAAAGCCAAGCCGCCATGAAGATTCGTCCGTCTCAATCCTGGGCAGTGGCGCAAGCTTTCGCAGACTGCACCTTTGCGGCGGTGTTGCCATCTCTGGAGTACCAAGCGGAGGGTCCTTGCTGTGGGGTTCGGTTGGTATGGACTAGAACATCATTAGCTGGATTTAAGCGCGCAACTGCTCCACGTACTCTCGCTTCTGCTAATGCACGCTTTAATTCGACATTTTCAGCTCTGTGCTGATCTAGTGCAGCATACCCTTGCTGGCATGTATTTCGCCACTGCTCTATATCACGCGAGAGTCTCCACACCTGCGCATTTAGCTCGCTAACTTTATCCCGCTCTGTAGCTAGATAGCCGCGCGTCTGATTATGGTTCCAGATTTCCCATTCAAGTATGTGCGATAGCTGTAGGTACAGATCAGGCTGCATGCTTGTCCCACAATTGCGGATAGGACTTGCTGTTGGCATTGTCCAGGAAGAGTTGCGATTATGGTCGATATTGGAAGTGTCTTGCGCTTCCCCTTGCTGTCGCCATAGGAGAGTGGGCCAGTCCACGGGGACAGCTGTTCCAGCCATGTCCACCTCCATGACAGTTGCGATGTGTAATGAAGAAGAGGTCAAAAGCGTTTGTATTAAACTTTTCGTTGTGGTAAGGTTGTAAGCTAAGTTGGTTTTACACAGGCTGCTGGCTAAAGCTTTATAGTCTCTCTTACCTGCGAACACCGAATTACCGTTATCCGTTTCTGGTCATCTAACCAGTTCTAGGATCCATAACAGCAACACCGTGTCCTGCTATCAGGATCCGGGCGATAGCAGTCGTAAATAAGTACGTCCCAGGTCATGTACATACCTGAATAAAAGCTATCTACACCCAAGCAAACTTCCGAATTTATGAGCCAGGTTAGGAATGTAATTTCGATATGACTTCCACTTCCATAGGAGAGGCGTTTCAACGCCTTCCGCGGCCGCAAGTGCCTACTGCGGTGGCACTTATGGAACGATCCTTGAAAAAAGCAAAGGAGCCAACTACTGGTGTCACACACAACCCATGGGAGACTTTGTCACATCTAGGAGATCTGACGCAAGGAAAACATAAGCTGTCACTTTGCCTTCAAGAGGGACAATTGGTGATTATCAAGGAGGTCAATCGTGAAGCTGGCCATGCGGAGTTAGAAAAACTGAAAAAAATATCTGATCATCCAAATGTGGCCACAATCAAGCAGGTTTTTGAGTCAAAGACCTCAGTGCTCTTTCAATATGAGTACACCCGCTTTACCCTAGAGGAGGTACTAAATGTTCACACCGTCCTCAAAGAGTCTCACATACGATTGATAGCAAGTGCAGTAAGCTAATCTATGGGTTGTAATTGCAAAGCTGACCATAAAGATATTCCTTGCCATAAAGCATGTTGCTAAAGCCGGCATTGTCCACAACTCTGTCTCAATAAGCACGATACGTTTCTGCGGAAGGAGTGGAAAACCACAACTTTGTAAGTGCACTATCTAGAAGACTTCTAGAGGCTGATATAAGTTTAGCAGACTTCGAGGACTGTGTCTGGATAAGCACTGAACTTACGCCAAATGCCGATTTGGAGCAACTTGGCGTCGCAGTCCTGGAATGCATGAATGGACTCCCGAACGAGAACTTGCGAGATCTTTCTTTCATCCGCAAACAAAGGGAATCCAATAAGATGTTTGGACTAAGTAAAGGAGAGAAGTGGAGTGGTTACAAACTTCTTGTGGACTTTCTGGATAGCATGTTCAATAGAGCGATACCCGCCCTCGCCAAGCTCGAGAAGCCTGTCAGTGGTTGAGAATGTCATAATTTATGACCCACACTAACAGAAAACAGCATCGGTACATCGCGCGCGATCCCAACTTCAGCGACCTGATACCGTTTCTTGAATTGGTTCCGTTGGAATGCTTATCACTTTGGCGCCCAAGTGTGGCGGAGTCGTAGAGTTGCATTACATAGTCTTCAAAATATTATTAGAATGTATTTTAGTTGGTATTGCGGCACGGTAAACATGACCAGCAATTAAAACCCATGCTTGGGCAAACCCGTAGCCACATCAACGTGTTTTTCTCGCTCAAATGGCAGCTAAGATGACTGGACAGGCAAACAGCGAACAACCGAGAGACAACCAAACCGAAGGTGCTCCATCAGCAAGCTCATCCTCGATTCCTATAATGCCTCTGATCGAAAGCTCCGTCCCAGCAGAGCTAGAACCCTCCTTTTTCAAATTCAACCCAACGACCGACGCTTTTCATCCTGACCCAGTTGAGAAACAGGACAACCAATCCATCAACGATAATAGCTACTTCCTCGGTCAGGGCCATGCCCTTGACATTCCTCTTGTAGCAGATCCACAATGCAACCCACAGGATTTCAACAATTTTGACTTTACTATGGATATTAACAACGACGCGTCTATGGACTTTGTCTGCATAAATGACCCCATCATTCAAATGCCGACCGTCCAGTCATTGGAGTTCTCGATCCAAATCTTGTGGGCCGAGCATCAGATGAGAACCCAGTATCTAGAAGGGTAAGTGGTTCATAGTAGAAGATCCAAGCGCGTGGCTGATAAGTGCAAAGGCGATTGGCAGAAGCTGTCGCTGTATCTGACAGTCTCCGGAAGGATGTAGACGCGATGGCGGAGTGGATCCAGCGCATCTATGACCATCTCGATTCATCAGTAGCGCCATCTGCCCCTACCGAAAACTGTTCACAGGAACGCGGCGAGTGATCTCGGTTCGGAAACCGTCAAGTGCTGGAAACCGTTATGGATTGGTGTAAGTGTATGGATGATTGCATATATCTACACAGGTACCTGTTCATGTAGTAGTAAAGCAAATTGTATGCGTAGATTTCATAAATCATGTCTTATTATCCACGATACAGAGCATTTTCCAATGCAGCTGCAGCACGCCACAGTTCCACTCACTACCCATGCAACCACAATCCTAGCATCAATGACGATCGGCGCACTAGCTACGATCGTCGTTATTCACATGATCGTCCATACGCCAATCAATCTCAGTTTACACCCCGGGTGCATTTTGCAAGGCCAGTGGTTCGCTCGATATCTCGAAAACCGACTCGAATGGAGTATTTCCACATGAACTTGTTGGAGTACCATGTTGACGGATGCGATGCCTGCGAGCCAATGCTATATGACAAACTTCCTTACGACTGCATAAAAGGGCGTCTGTTAGAGAAAAGCGTCCTACGGAACATCTGGTTAAGCAAGGAGGGCAGGGTATGTGGTAGGGATGATGTGTGGGATTGTGAAGTCTTGGTCGAGGTGTCCAGGAACTATCCAGCTGTTCTGGCATTGCTGCGCCAAGTTTATCCTCAGCTTGACACCAAGCGTTCTCATAGGTAGATCAAGCAAAATGTGGAGTCACGGGGTGTAATGTAGACGTAGGTAGCCGAACTTGGATATATTCCATTCCCTATCGTTCCTAGTAATATTTTTGTCCGCGGCAAATCTCCCAAGCAGTAGAAGGATGAGAACCCCTGGAGGCAGTTGCATGAACGCGCGTTGTCTGCGCTTAATTGTGGCGTACATGACTAGCGCGCCTATGTAAGCGAATTAATCTATGCCCCCACTGTGAACGCCTGATCATACAAAATCCTGTGACTTCTCTTCGCAGCGCGAAATGGATAACCCGTGCGGACAGAATGAATTTAGTTCGGACCTCCAATGAAGCAATGTTAGCCAAATTAGTTATCCCGTATGGGATATGAAAGTGTGATAATGTGGGTGTAAGCTTCGTAAAGTTCGATAACGCCGCCAGGTCAGGTATCCCGTATGGTACCCCGGAATGCGGCAAATGCGCCTTGTACGGATGTTGATGCCGGGGGGTCCGTCGCGACGTGTGGTCGATTGCGCCGTCAGGACAAGTCTCCCGTACGGGAACCTGGAATGCGCCTTGTTGGTACCGGGGGGTCCGTTGCGACGTGTGGTCAAGTGCGCCGCCAGGACAAGTCTCCCGTACGGGAAACTGGAATGCGAAGACGTACCTCGTACGACCGTTAGCGCCATAAGATAAACTGTGCCGTGAGGCCAACCATCCCGTACGGATGTTTGCCGGTATTCCGACGGCAGATATACTCTAACATGATTGGGCAATTAGTCGGACGTCTTGTGCGTGAGGATTGCTCTCCACTGCGGCACAGTCGGTCATCCCATACGGGTTATCTGCATGTTTTCGGATAAACCTAATGTGTTTGTGCTTCAAGACGCGCGTATAATTGACGCTACTTTGGTCGAATCACAGTGATGAACCACTAGCTAAACCCCTGATTCCTGCACGTTGGGTCAGGATCATAGCTTCAATCCTTCACTTTGTGCTCGGCGGCTATTCTGCAGCGTCATGCAGGGAAATATCAAACCAGTACCGTCAGTTAGCGAAGTGACAACGAGTTTGCCGCGCTGTACTAGCAAGAAGTGGTACTAGGTAAATAATAGGTAATTGAGGGTATGTTTGCCTAAGTACTGTATAAAACCGTAGTTTATGCCGTTTCTATATCTGTTCATTGATGCTTAAGCGCCTTGGCGAGCATACGCCACCTGCTTCCATACTTATCTCTACAACGAAAGGGCAGCATTTATACAAGTGTGTACATGACATTCTTACTACATTCAAAATGACATCGCGACTCTCCCACCCATCTCGAAGAAAGAAAACGCCTAGTATGTACAAACGCTCATTTCTGATAAGGTTAGCTAATATCGACGAAGCATCCGTACTGAAGTCTCCGATCGACATGCATTTCAAATCAGAGTTCGCGGGTAATAGCACGACACCTCCAAAATCACCCATGTTGTCGGAAATGTCAAACATGGAGCCGCTTCCATCGCCTTGGATCAAGCCATGCTCCCAGAGAGCCGAAGTCTCTACTGAATCCGAGGTTTCACCCGTTCCCTTCGTGCCCACTTCTGAGGCCTTCCACAACCTCGATCCCATTACGGTTTTACTTCAACAGCCAAGCCACACCCCGCAAATGAAAGAGAATTCAATGAGAGTTTCGGATCTTACGGCCCTTCCATTTCCTTCTTCCCGCACTTTGCCTGCGCCTACTGGATTTACCAAATACATGAAAACGATGAAGTCTGAATCCCAACAGCTGGGCCCAACAAGACTGCCCCCAGCACGCCAGGTGTTTCGTAAACGTCGGGAATTTCTCTTGGTTCAGGCCCTGAAAGACAGTATAGTTAACTTTTCTAGAACGAACATGGCTCTCCGTGCGTCTATAGCTGATGAGGTGAAGAAAGGTGTAGAGGGCAATTTAACAGGCATTGAAAAGGACCCTGTTCAGACCGTCCTGGCAGTAGGTTCTCATGGAAGAAACTATTGGAGCAAGGTTCACCAAGAATGTCATCATGGCCGCGGCGATTGGAAGATTCAGCCTCTCCATCAAATCTACTCGAAGAAAGACATCGAGAGGATCTTGTTCTTTTGGGCTATTCACCAGAGCACTCTTTCATATGGAGAAATTGCTTGCAGACTACATTTGCCAGTCGGAGCCCTTTTATCGTGGATACTGGGGTGCATAGATCGTGTACAGGAAGTCTGAGGGCAGAGGGCTGAATCATGTATTTAGACTTATACTACTTGTGCTAGTGATACTACCTATCTCCCAGTGTTAATCCTTTGTGCATGCGATTTTTTGCTTATTTGTACCGTGATGTCGACATCTTACTCATGTAAGTCTCATCTGGCAGGTAGACACTTGTTCTGAGATTTATATCATGGGGACTCGCCCTAATGGCCAGCCTGGCGCGCTTCTCGAACTTGGAATCTCCGCATACTACTTGCCATTAGGAAGATTTCAAAATTCCGTTGCTCAAGACATACCTGTCACTAGCATATTCCCTGCTTCAGCGCCCCATTCGCCCTCAATGAACATGGCCATGTCAAGTGAGCTAGAGATAGGGAACATTCTCGCTTCAGTGATCTTGGAGTCATTAAATCCACCTTCCGCCACTGCTTCCGTTTCATTAGGACATAGCAAGTATATAGTCAGAATCTGTCGATGATCTAGATGATTAAGAGCATGAAGATATTCCTTAGCCCACTGGATTTGATCTGCTTACTGTTAGTAAAGCCAAAGATTCAATTTGTGGATTCATAATAACCTGATGTTTCAAGAAACCAAAGAAGAGTAAGCCTTCTCACGCGCGCTGTTTGTTGGTTGTGAGCTAGGAGTAGATGGCGAGTCATATATAGATGTGCCGCGATGCCTGTACCGCTAGACATAAGGAGAACCTTATCGTAGCGGGCTAACTCTTTAAAGTCTATACCTCCGTAAGGACCATCGATAATGGCAGGCGTGATGGCGTCGGTAAGCCCTAGCTTGCGCGTAAAGCCGCGGCGACGCTGAACAATCAATACTATCGATTTCAATTGGTCTTTCTCATCGTGAAACGCCCATGCAACCATAAAAGGATGAAACTCAAGCAAGCCCAAACCGAGACTACGAGAGTGGGGTAGAGAGAGATATACAAATTGCCCTGGGGTTACATGCCAAGGTCGTCTTATGTCAACACACACCTGATAAACCTCTTCTTTATGATTTCCGTTTGATTGGAAGCGAGTGATTGAAGCCTGACAACGAGGTCCTGAGCCAGTGTTCCGGTAAAGGCAGTGAATCACCCACAAAATCTTTTGAAATATGAAAAGAGATGCTGCGGAAGAGATGCATGCAATGACGTATGGACTAGGCCTATTTAGATGTAGCCAGATGAATACAAGCAGAGCTACTGATGCGATCGTATGGAGTTGTAGGAACAGCTCATACAGCCTGCGTCGAATGTACACAATGGAGCACACTGCAATAGTCCCAGTAAGTGAGATTAACTAAAAATATCAGCATTGGAAGAACCAAGTTATTGTTCAAAGAGACGTACGGTGATATCGATTGCGCGTAATGGCTTGCGACGCTGAAGAGCGCTCAAGACCCCATGTATCAGACCTTCAAGAACGCAGATACGTCCTATCCAACGATGTACAAGGTAGTACTCGCTATGAGATAGTCTAAAAATTCTATCGGCGATGAAGTTTGTTCTTCCGCCAAAAAATAGAACAACGAGGTTCGTTAAGCATAGCCGAGCAAGCCGTGTGGAGAAGTCGGCTTGAGACGGTATAGCAATGACTGCGCTGACGATATTTCCCACTAACGTACAAAGTACTACAAAGCCTGCAGCCACTGTGATATCTGAGCTTCCGTTCGCTCTTGCCAGAACGACTGTGTATACAAGCCATTTAGAAAGAACAGCAAAAACATGATCACGTGCCCGAGCAGTTAGAAACTGATAGAGTCGCCAACTAATGACAAGAGCGAGAACAGAGATATATGCAATTGCGTAGATATAGGGGACCTGCATATTGGCCGGATGCTAAGGAGGATATTTTGCCCGCGAAAATGTCAGAAAACTTTGAAAGTTGCATGCGTGCTTTGATGTACGCTGCCGTGAAGCAGCCAGAAAGTAGCCACCAGTTTAGTAGCTGCGGCTATCTCGTGCGACTTACCTGAATAGGTTGACGCTTCTGGGACTTCGGAGACTCGTTTCCGGTAAACCGGTTAAGGCGACCAGTATGCTAAATCACGCTTATAGTTGTAGTTAAAACAGGCTACGTTAGCCGCCGAACTATTACCGTACCATAGTTATTTTTAGTGTAGGACACAATCGCCTAATAGCCGCCTATGCGGCGCGTTTAAGGTCAAATCATATGAAGAAGCTTGTAGCAATGACCCACTTTTGCTTATTGTGCATCCCTTAGTGCACACGTGACCCAGTCAGTGGTTCCTACATATTGCTATTGCTTGTAGCTATCCTGATATCTGTAATCAGTCACGTCAACACTACAAAAATGACCAAGTCAACCCCACAAAATCTCATGCGCACGTTCAAAGATAGAAGCGACGGTATCTGTCGCAAAGCCGCAAAGCTCCATGCGATCGATAGCAGTATCCGAATATCTGTTATTATCGAGAAACCCGGCCAGCGACCAGTTGTATTTTCATCGGAGGAACAAGGATTTCAATGGCCAAGTTGGATGGAAGAATATGTGTGTTTAATTCTTTCATGAGCGTGCATCACTAACAAGGTCGCTGTAGGTAGATGCCGAAGCACCGATTGTGAAACGACCGTCCCATTTTGTATCTTTGAACGAGGGCATTTCAAGAGGACGGGTGAAGGTAGCCAAACAATCTTCTTCGCCCTTCTCATTGCCGCAACCACAAACCCCAGAGTCAACACGTACATATGGCGAGGATGACTCAGATGAATTAGGTACACGGAACGTTCAGAGAATCCTTACACCACACGTTAGTCCTGGCCGAAACTTAAGCCCCCTTCCACCTCGAACGACTATCGTGCTGCCATCAAAGAGACGACGGCTAGAGAGTGACAATGGTAGTATGTAAGAATATAGCAGCATACGCTAGAATCACATTGCGTGTTTACTACATAGTTGAAATTCGAAATTATCAGCTTTGTAGTGCTTTCTTACACATGCATGAGCAATTAATAGGCGTTTTGTTTGAAATACGATTGCGGCATATTCACAATTTTCCAAGGCTCTTTATCGTCGTCAGATACAACAACGTCTTTTACTTCGCCTCCGCTTTAGATATTTCGATTTGCAAGAACAATATCGGTGCCACTTGGCTCTCCCTCCAGCCTTCTTTTCTTCGTTCCGTCTGCTTCTTCAATCACATGTCTCTGTGCACCCCGTACAAGTCCCAATCTTCCTTCACCAAGCTCTTCAGTAACTTTTTCACATGCACCCGTGGAAATATACTTCTCTAGCACTGTGCCTTTACTAACCACGATGGTTCTATACATAGTACAAGCTGCAAATATGTACGTAGGACTTATGTTGGTGAGATACTTTCCTTGAATGTTCATCGCCCTTAGCTCTGGACCAAAGTATTCCTTAGCCGCTCCTAAGATGGCTACAATTATTGGAACAGCCTCTAGCTCATCTTTATCCACTTCGATTGGTGTTCCTTTAGGTAAACCAGTATCATCATTCGACTCAGCGAGGAATATTTCATATTTATCTCCACGATATGGTCTCCATGGATTGTGTAATTCGCGTTGTCTCAGGTCATCGACGAAGGCGCTTTTTGGGTCTTCATAATCAGGTTCCGTAGGTATCGTTTGAGCAAACAGTTGTTCTTGCCGAAGAACTAAAGCATTTCGTTCGTCATTTGCAGCCTCCAGGTTTTTCTTATGCTCTTGATTTTCCTCCAAAAGCCTTGATTGATCATTCCTAAGCATTTGAAGTTCATTCTGGGCAGTAGTCTGCTTCGTTTCTAGTTCTTCCATTTCGCTTCGAAGTTTGAGTACAAGTGCATCAGACTTGTGTATTATCTGGTTTCTTCGCTGCGCTGCAGTTTCAAGTGTTGCGATTTTCTTCTTGAGTGTGTCATTTTCGAGGCAGAGGTGCTCTATCTCCTCTTGTTTCGACTGTAGGGAAGATATAGCATCACGTTCTCCGTTTCTTTGGTCTTGCAGAGACTGGTATCTCTGCTGAAGATTCAGGTTTTCGGCTTCAAGTTCCCGATTGCGCTTTTGAAGGTCTTGAACATTGAACTGGAGAGAAGATATTAAATCCTTATTTATGTTTCCTTGCTCTTGCAAAGATTGGTATCTTTGTTGGAAATTTAGTTTTTCAGCGTCAAGGTCCTGATAGCGCGTTCGTAAATCTTCATGCTGGGAAAGAAGGTTGCTATGATCGCGATGAAGGGTTTCTATCTGCGCTTTCAGACCTTGTATCTCGCTGGATATATGTAGATCTTCTGTTTCGAGATCCATTCCATCGGTATCAGAAGCGAGACTTTGTACAAATATGGGGTACTGAACATCATTGTGCTAGTAAATATTAGAGACACCAAGTATATACTGCTGACCAGGATGCATACCTCTACAGTAAGGTTCCCAAAAAGAGACTTGAAAACGTCACGTCGTATCAATGTCCAACCTGCTTCTGTAGGTTCTCGGCTGTTGTATATGTTTGGGAGATATAAGTTCTGCTCGTCCATGCGTAAGTCGTTCTCATAAGGTCGACCATTTCGCCTTTCTTTCTCTAAATGACCAGAAGCTACTAACTGGGGCTGCTGTGAGTCATCTTCTACTATTCTGCTAGCGCGTACGACCTCCTGGACCTGTCTTTCATGAGATGATGAGGACAACGGGCTTGATTTGCGAAGATATTCCTGAGCTAGTTCAGTATAAGGGTCGGAGTTCGCTAGCTTCTGGGCCGATTTTGTCTTGAAACCACGCGAGATGGAGAAGTCTGCTAGATGTTGCCAGAGTACTGGGTTTGGTCCTTCTACTATCGGCTTTTCTTCACCGCTTTCTTTTTTTGGTGTGAAAGAAGAGAGTTTGTTAAAATAGCGACCACAGAAGGCCCACAATTCCACATATGAGATCCAGGCTGCTTCCTCTTGACTTAACAGCGACGTAATCTCTGCCTCTCTAAACTTTGCAACTTGAATATATCTCTTCTCTGGGGGAAAGTAGCAGCCCATCAAGCTTGAGCGTATTGTGCGCTTCATATTACCGCCAATTAATTTCTTCAGTACCTCACATATTGGTTCGATGTATTTGAGCGTCTCGAAAAATGTCCAAAGCGATGGTATGAGGCCTTCGGAAGCGCATATGTTTTCTGCTAGTTCTCGACGAATTTGACTATCCAATAGAGAAGGGAATACTATATTTCGCTCGAACAGATCCATAACAAATGCCTTGTCAACGGAGGAATTCTTAGGTGCCAATGACTCGAGATTGTCCACAGTAACTGTATCGACCGCAGAGAACGGTAGAGTGATGTTTCTACAAGTCAAAATCTTTGTCCAAACCTTCGATACGTGGTTAAGATAATAGGCCATCTCCTATATCAGTTAGAGAGATTGTGACGTTTCGAGAAGAACATACCTCATCGCATTTCAAAGTGAGAAGTCTATGGAGAGCACCAAGCTGTACTTTCGCCCAAAGGCCTGGCATCTCAAGAAGCTTATCGAAGCTAGATATAATTTCCGTCCTTTTGAAAAGCTGACGTAGATCCTTAGGTTTTGAGTTGTCAAGCCTTGCCCACCATTTTCTTTCCGCTTCGACTTTGTTTTCTCGGTGATACAATCGTATTCTACGGAATATTTCTCCGTCTGACGGCCTTTGCTCGTTTTTATATGACTCAACAATGTGACAGAGGATGGGAGTCGGAGTTTCTATCGTAGGGTTACTAGATGCGTCTAGAGGTTGCAAACTTACTAACCCCTTGAGAATAGTCTAACAACCCACCACTTGTCATTCTCATCTAAGAACTGATCCGCTGCTCTTATGCGATGTAATCCATTGAGACATTTTAGTTCTCTGAGGTTCAAAGTTGGAGCATCTTTAGGTGAGCGGATATTCTGAAGAGCTTCAATAGAAAGACCAATAGCACGTAGCGCAGCGTCGAGACGGTCGTTCTCTACGACGGCATCAATAACGTTCTCGTCTTGAAGTCTTAGGCATCCTGTCTTTTCAAAGATCTTCTGGAGTCTGCGAACATTTTGAGGGGATACTTCGCGATGCTTATTCAAAAATAACTGGTGTTCGAATTGTAGACAGTCAAGATGCACACGTACTAGACCTCGAAAGCAATTTGCTTTGTGCGTAGCTAGGGTGATATCATCAGAAAATTCCATACCTACTATAGTGTGGTGAAGATACATTCCAGCTAGGGATGATGGAGATTTTGTTTTTTCCTTAGCTAGCGGCGGCTACCTCAACTCCAGGGTTGGTTAACCGTTATCCGATTTCGGGACACACCCAAGACCGGACGACCGGAAACAGTATCTGGGAGACCTCAACATAAAAGCAATGCCATGTAATAAGTCCTCTCTAGCAGAAAATGGACGCTGTTCCGTGGATTACCTATGATACCTCCTGTAGGGGGAACACCTTGACACATCACGAGCCATGTCAGCATATCATCGAGAACGTCAAGAGTGACACCAAACCATCCTATATCACTCTTTTAGGGAAAAGATCAAAAGCAGTCCTTCTAGCTCATTTATTAGGTAAGGCTGCAGATGTACCTGTCCATAAGCAAGTATATCTTTGGTGTTCGCCACGACTACGAAGCGGCACTACGCCGATTGTTGTCATCGACTGCAACATCCAAAACACGAACGCACCAGACCCCAACCCCATCCGTCAGACAAGAAATGCAACAGTATTGACTATTTCCAACACCAACAACATCGGCGCTACATTATGTGGGAATATTTTCTCGCTGTTTTCAAGTGTGGTCTGTTGTTTTGTTGACGATTTTGGCGGGCTTGCGGCTGTCGCCGATTGGCTCGCTGAGCAGCTAGTTGCGATGCCGGCATCCGACTTGCGCACAGTACCCCGCATCTTGTTGGTTATGGAAATATCATCGGACTCGTTTGATGAGAGCATAGCTGCCAATAAGGCTAAAAGTCTTATAATTAACGCTCTGGAAGGCAAAAAGGGCTATTTGAATGCGCAACGCGACATAAAGCTCCGTCTAGGTGAGATCAATGTTCTAGGGTTACGGTCTTCCAAGTCCACTGCTGTTTGTGCACGATCTTTGAAGCGACGTTTGCTAGCACTATCCCAAACTGCGATGCGCGAACGAGCCAATTCACATATACAATTCAGCTTCTCTCACTTTCGCAACATATCCCTTGAAATTCTACGCTGGCTTTGCGGTGATTGTCCAAAGCCGTTCAGTCTTGTCGACGCGACTAGGCCCCTTGGATTCTCGTGCGATCTACTGCAGCATTGCATAGAAGATTTCCTCAAGCAAATGCCCTCTCAAGCCTGGCTGTGGCATTTTGCGGCACCTCTGATAGCATCCGCTCTACTGCTCGCTAGCTACCCCCCGCGTGCACATGGTAACACTCTTGCATTCCCTGTGTCTTTCAATCGCTTACAATAGTAGACTTTGCACCAGACTATCTTTTCGAGAATATCTACTCTGAACCCTGCCGTACTGCGATTTCTTCGTATACCCCTTTCGCAGGTATTCAAAAGAAGTTTGTAGCTGCTATACTTTGCGAATTTCGTGCAATGTTCACCGACTATAAAGTTAATGGGCTACCCTCTCGCGACAACCATCGCAAAACTCTAACACTTCACCACACCCATTTAGCTGAGTTCAGAAGCCATCAATCCTGCTTCAGCTGCTTCATGCGAATGCCTGAAAAGGTCCTGCCATGCGGACATGCTCTCTGCGATGCTTGTATCAGGACTTTGGGGATACGCTCGCGATTCGAGAAAAATACATATGATATTCCTGAGTGTGTTCTATGCGGTGTTAATTACCGTAATTCAACGTTTCGATTCGTACCTCCTACTGCAGGAATACGGATACTTAGTATTGATGGTGGAGGTGTAAGAGGTGTCATTCCGCTGGCTTTTCTTAAGCACATTGATTCGCTACTCGCTCCATTGTGTTGCTCAGTAAAAGATCAATTTGATTTCGTTTGTGGTACATCGGCAGGTAATAGCTCAGACCACGCTTTGGCAGAAAACCTTTGCTTACTTGAACAGGTGGACTTGTAGTGATTGGCATGTTTCTGCTCCAATGGAGTGCGTCTGAATCCTTGGAAAGATTCGAAGATGTGGCAAGTAAGACATTCGGGAGGCGAAAAGCACTAGTCACGAGAGCCTTTCAGTTGATCATGGGCTACGTCCAAGACGGCCAGTACAGTTTAGCAGCGATTCAAGATGCTTTCAGGAAAGCTTTCAACTCGCCGTTGCAGATGTTCAACCCACTCAAGAACGATACAAAGGTTGCTGTCACAACTACGACAGTTAAAGATTCATTACCTTGGCTCTTCACAAACTACAACGGCGGAAAAAGATCTAATAACATAGGTTCGCTATCAAGCCACACCAATATAATAAACACTAATTTCAACAGGATATGATGTTATACGAGCTGACCGAGCTGATAGTGATATCACTGTGAGCGACGCGTAAGTGTCTTCTTCTATCTTCAGCCATGATCCATTAACACTCCCAGTGCATGTTGTACTTCTGCGGCGCCTTGGTAAATATAACGACAGTAATACTTGGTCCCTTTGCTTATCGTGATAGGTTCTTCAAACCCCAGGTTGTAGGATCGTTAGGAGCTTTTCAAGATGGCGGACTGCAACACAATAATCCAGCAAGCATTGCGCAATGGGAGATGCAGTTCTTATGGCCCAACAAACCCCAACCAGACTTCGCACTCTCGCTAGGAACGGGGACTTCATCACCTACCGTGGTCAGTAAATCACCGACAATATCGCGCTTTTACATCCGGCTGTTCAAAAGTTTTATGCGCAACCTTGACGGCGAAGACGCATGGAAGCGTTTCTTGAATTCGATATCGCCGAACGTACGGCAGCGCTTTCATCGTCTTAATATCAGACTGGCTGGCCCTGAACCCAGTCTTGATGACACGTTCGTAATACCAGAACTTAAAAGCAAGGTAGCGCAAACTATTGACGAAGACCGACCACGAATATCTAGTATATTTGACTCTATGATAGCATCAATATTCTACTTTGAGTTGGACAACCTCCCAACACTTGGAAACACTGGTTATGACTGCAGCGGATTCATATTTTGTCGCCTAGATATACCCCCGGACGGTCTTCGCTACTTGTATAATCGCTTACTTACTACTGACTCGTGGTTCTTGATCCAAGGTACTCCAGTGAGCTGTGTCCAGAACGGATACGTACCTAAAAGCCTACCGCCTTTTCGGCGTCATATCAGCTTCCAGGTAGAAACGCTAGAAGAGATGTTGACAATCTCGATCCGTGGTATAATATCTAAGCCTTTACTTATAAGTGGTTTTCCTACTACCATTCAGAAGCTTATTGAGGCTCAGCAACTTGATAGCCCATATGGAACTGTCGACCATGTTGATCAAAAACCGCTGCCTACTATTCCGCGGAAGCGATCTGCCAAAAGTCCACATTGGATTACTCGTGGTATGAAGCGGGCTTGTATATAGCATATGAATTGAGTTCATGACTATACCACATAGAAAGCTGCCTCACCCCCTTACCGATAGCCCAAAAAGAAACCATCTCGCTCGCTTGAGAGGAAGGCTGCTTTGGATAGAATGAGTGATGGGGCCTGATCTCAATCATCTAAAAAATACATCAAAAAGAATCTCTCCAGCGGGGAATCGAACCCCGGTCTCCCGCGGCCTGTCAATTGCTTGACAAGCGGAAATACTGACCTCTATACTACTGAAGATGACTAATCGTATTGATGGATGAGGGGGTTATCAAAAAATATATTAATGCTATTGTTGTCCCTCCCTTGGTTATCGGACTCCTGTGACCGGACACACTAACGTTCGTCGCTGTGGGTCGAAGATTCCCCGCAACGAACCACCAACATTTTTTAAGCACGTTATGTCCAAGTCGCAGAGACTCGTAGACATAAGGACACATTTAAGTTATATAGTTAACGTCCGTCCCTAACGTCCCCCCCTGGGTTACGTAAAGCCCCCCGTGCCGCAAAGAATCTACGATTTTAGCACCTTGGAATTCACGCCATCGCTAGTATTGCACCGCGATAGTGAAACACTCATTCTTAAAGCTATTCTCTACAAACTTAACTAGAAGGGCAGTTATAAATATTACAGCGTGTTTGGTCCTGTCGTCGCGCATTCAGTATCGGCCAGTCGAGGGTTGATTAGCTTCACACCCCTGTCATAGCACGACCTATGCATACACCTTACCTTAAGTTGACCTTTCTAGGCTGCAGTCTTGAACTCTGCCATCTTAGTTTCTTCCTTAGCCAGCCGAGCTTCTTATCGACATCTATTGTCGCCAACGAATAGGGGGTTAATAAAGGAGAGTCGGTCGCCGGCATTGATAGAACGAGCGATAGCATAGTCAATAACGCGATTTTCGGCATCAGAGGGTAATGTGCTTAGAGAACAAAAGTTGCAGAACGGATGCGCATCTTGCTTGCCTACGTTTGAGAGTGTAACACGCAATCCGAGCGTCCGGACGAGAAGGTGTCTCGTCACACCGTGTGTCCCGGCACGTAGGGACGGACATTACTCTTAAGATCTACCTTGATTTATTATAGGCTCTAAATAGCAATATTATAGCAATCTAAGGGGCATATATGAATCTTTCGTGTTGAGCATTGAAGCTGGTGCAACGAAACACCCCTGTTCTATCTCCTACAGAAGGGTAACTTAATCATTCGGAGGTCTTATACAATTTGCCGAAATTTAAAGAATCTATAGCTATTCTATGAAGATGCCAGAAGAGCTGAAGCTGTGGCGCAGAGCTCTAGAAGCTTCTACAGTGTGCTGCGCAAGCGCGCAGTTGCCAGCTATTCTTAGAAGCAGACTGGTTGTGGACTCTGTTGGCTCCTACAAAGTAGTTAGCAAGCTTTAGCAAGAGCGACAGGCTAGATGGAAAGGCGAATTCAGATTGAATTCAAACCTAGATATCATTCACAAGTGTTGCATTTGCGCGACTGCTTTCTTATTTTGTTCTGCGTCGTAATTAACGGGCAAGCTTTAAACGCGTCAGTGCTTAAACCCCTGCCAACAGCGCCAAGGGCCTTATGTCCTCCGCAGCTCTCGATGCGGCTTCACCACCAAGTCAAGAATACAGCGCGAGCTGGCAGTTCCAGCTCGCGACATCTTAACGCATCACAGGATCCTGCTGGTATCTAAGCTGGTGCATCTGCTCGTCATTCTCTCTGTACGCTGACCATCCATCGGTAGCAGGAAAGCAGCTAGCAAGCAAGCGCCCGCACCATCAGGCTACTGGGTTCAGCCTTTCGAGTTTTGTTCTCATCGCATATACCTACTATACACCCACACGAACTTATGCGGCTCCTACAGTACAGCGAACGCGGAGAGCTCAGCATTTATAGCTTCGATGATGGCGATATACCCCCCTACGCGATACTCTCACACACCTGGGGCGCAGATGGGGACGAGGTGACGTTCGCAGACCTCCAGGCAGGCGATGGCGAGACAAAGCCAGGCTACCAAAAGATCCTCTTCTGCGGAAAACGGGCGCGGCGCGATAACCTCTAGTACTTCTGGATCGACACGTGCTGTATCAATAAAGCTAATAAGGCTGAACTCGCCTTCTCCATCCGATCGATGTTTCGCTGGTACCGCGATGCAGCTCGGTGTTATGTATATCTATCGGATGTCTCTAGTCAACCTCTATTAGTTACGCCAGGCTACAACGATTCACGATGGCTTTTGTGGATCTGGATGCTCTCTATTCTCTATACTATGTCGGGATGGTACGGCAGCACGATGCACCGCTACTTCTATTCGCGCGACGTTCCATGCACTTCGGTCGGTAGCGGTCCTGTGCGAAGGGAGAAGAAGGCTGAGCTTGCGCTTAAAAACAGTAGATGGTTTACCCGTGGATGGACACTGCAGGAGCTTCTCGCACCGTCTATAGTAGATTTCTTCTCTAGAGAAGGGACCAAGCTTGGTGATAAGTTGTTGCTAGCAAAAGAAGTACGTGAAGTTACGGGCATCTCTAGTCCAGCACTGTAGGGCGAACCGTTGTCTAACTTTAGTGTTCATGAACGCGTCATATGGATTGAGCATCGCACTACGACGATTCTAGCAGATCGCGCGTACTCTTTAATGGGTATCCTCGGCGTCAGCTTATCCCCGATCGATGGCGAGAATCTAGCTGAAGTAATGAAGCGGGTTCTAGATGAGGTTGACAAGCAGAACAAGTGCCTCTAAGACTTGTGTCCTAGCAACCCGCGCAATGACAAGAAGCGGATTGAGGAGACTAAGGGCGGGCTGCTTGCGGGCGCCTATTGTTGGATTCTCGATAACAATATCTTCTAGCAGTGGCAGCAAGACCTGGAGAGCCGACTACTGTGGGTGAAAGGTGATCCTGGTAAAGTCAAGACAATGCTGCTGTGCGGCATCATCGACGAACTGCAAAGCTTGACGCTGAAACCTACCTTTATCTTATACTTTTTCTGCCAGGCGACTGACTCGCGTATTAATAGTGCTATAGCTGTGCTGCGGGGCTTGCTGTATATGCTCGTGGACTAGTAACCATCGCTTGTAGTTCATGTTCGCAAGAAGTACGATCGCGCAGGCAAGAGCTTATTCGAGGACGCAAATGCCTGGGTCGCCCTGACTGAGATCTTCGCCGACGTATTGCGAGATGCAAGCCTAAGTGCGATGTACCTAATTGTTGACGCCCTCGATGAATGCATAACAGACTTAGCAAAGCTGCTTACTTTTATTGCGAAGCAGTCGTCTGCATCCTCTCGCGTTAAGTGGATTGTATCTAGTCGCAACTGGCCAGCTATCGAGGAACAACTACAGCGTGCAGAGTACAAGACAAGGCTGAGCCTTGAGCTGAACGCAGAGTCAGTCGCCGCGGCAGTTGATATCTTTATCTAGCAAAAGGTAAACCAGTTAGCGCAGGAGAAACAGTACAAAGAGGAACTTCAACACGTTGTGCTCCAGCACTTTAGGTCAAATGCGAACGACACCTTCCTCTGGGTCGCGTTAGTGTGCCAAGAGCTCGAAAAGACGCCGAAGCGGAACGTGCTAAAGAAGCTAGCATTATTCCCGCCTGGATTGGGCGACTTGTACAAGCGGATGATGCAGCAGATGAGCGAGTCTGACGACGCTGACGTCTGTCGCTGCGTGCTGGCTTTGACTGCTGTCCTGTATCGACCTGTCACAGTCGCTGAGCTGGTTCTACTCACTGAACAGCTTGCAAACTTTGCTGATGAGTCTGTGCGGGAGATCATCAGTCTCTGCGGATCGTTCCTGACGCTGCGCGACGACACAGTCTACTTTGTGCATCAGTCAGCTAAGGACTTCCTCGTCACGAACGCGTCGGACAAGGTCTTTCCAGACGGTATAGAACATGTGCATCAAGACATTTTTGCGAAGTCACTTGCTGTCCTACACAAGACACTGCGCAGAGATATATACAACCTTCAAGCTCCTGGGTATCCTATACAAGATATCAAGCCGCCTGTTCCTAATCCTCTAGATCCGTTGTTCTACTCATGTGTGTACTGGGTTGACCACTTCTGCGACTCAAAACACAAAACACTATCACATAGTGCTACTACTCAAGAAAACACTAAGGCTATCGATACATTTCTTAGGCAGAGATATCTCTACTGGCTAGAAGCGCTCAGCTTATACAGAAGCATGGCCAAAGGGGTAGTGTCGATGACAAGGCTATGGGATCTAGTCCAGGTATGGCTAATACGACTACATCTATATACGACCTTCACGGTGTAGTTACTAACGTGGCTAGAGACTTCGAAACACGGACGCATTGAATAGGATCGTGTACGACGCACGACGATTCATTATGTATCATAAAGAGGCAATCGGGAACTTTCCTTTATAAGCATACGTATCTGCGCTTTTATTTAGTCTAGTAGACAGCATAATAAGAAGGCTGTTCCAGCATGAAAAGCCAAGGGGAATAGCCATCAAGCCAGCTATG